GGGCCAGGTATGCTACGCGTACATGAATCTATGAATAGCAATAAATCGTTGCCCCACCCTACCCAGTAGTCAATTGACAATTTTAAAAAGTGAATGGCCGACAAGCACAAGCTAGTCTAGAATATAATCAGAAAATAATATATGCGCGCATACCAGTAATTTGCGCTAAAACAGTTATTCCAGATTAAAATATTCACAATTCTAATTGTTGGACGATATTTAGTTGAACACTTATTATAAACAACTCCATGGTATCTTCAAATCGTGTATGACGGAACTTTCTCTAAGCCTCATTTTAATAATTCTGTGTTTGAATAATTAGACCATATAGGCTTAGTACAAAATGATTATTTTAATAACTACGTTTCGGAGTATAACTATCTTCAGGTTAAAAGTAACTAAAGATATAAAACTTTAAAAACAATTACAAATTTAGACTAAATTTGTAATTGTTTTTAAAGTTTTATATCTTTAGTTACTTTTAACCTGAAGGTGGAGTTATACTCCGAAACTAGTTATTAAAATAATCTTTTTGTACTAAGCCTATATGGTCTAATTATTCAAACACAGAACTCCATGGTAGTAAAAACCCACAGTAACTGTGTCTTATGCGTACACAATCCGAACGCGTTTTTCGCGTGACGAATTCGTACACACCATAATAATAGAGACTCCTGCCCGGCCCACCACAACCAGTATAAGGCCAATGCTCCTGCCGTGAAACAAGATAGTATGAAACACATCAATACACAATTGACTAATAAAGTATTTTCAATTGTTTGTAAATGATATCGGTTAAAACAGAGACAGGATAAGCCGATATACAGTTAAACGTGAACAAGAATCACGTATAAATACATCACTGTTGCACTTTTATTGTGTCTACGTTGAGTGAAATAATATTCGACATGAGCGCAGACTTCATATCGGGTCGTATTACATTTCGGAATTCTAACAACATCTTGGAGAATTACGTTCTAAACAATAAACATTGGCACTCAACGAAAGTGTGCGGTGAGCCGAACCATATTAATATACGCTGTGTATTTATGTACTTTAAAACATAATTGTTTCATATGAGAAACTAAGCAGGAGTAAGAAATCGGCGCTGCATGATACAGACTTTATAGAACACGCAATCAGCTTTATTTATCAAAGTTAAGAGGTCAGCTGTCGCAAAACGTTTGTTTATATATTTAAAAGATTAATGGGCCAATTTTACTCGAAACCTTAGTGACTTACTGACTTACTTCTTCGCTGGTTGTTATACTTTAAAATAATTCTGTAGCTCATATTTTACCAAATTTCGCCTTCATTCGAGCTTGAATCCGTTTTGGCGCTCGAATGAAGGCGAAATTTGGTCCAAATAGGAAACACATGGTAGACGCTTCAAAAACCAATACGTACTACTTCGTAAATTTCTGAAAAGTGTACAGCAATCATGCTGCTCAAACACAGACACGTACGTAGTTCTTGATTCTCTCCATCAGTTTCATCCACAAGTCGTCATATTTCAATGCGTGAATAAATATAAATCATAAATTATAACCCCTCTTTACCGCCATATTGGATTGTCTCGCGACCAAGCCGTAATTTGTAATTACGTAATTTTTGGTAATACTGGTCGCTGATTGTCTAAGTTAACAGTGAACAGTGAACAGCTAACAAGTCGATAGCATATAATCTACTTCGTAGATTCAAAAAGTTATTGACAAAAATGTGGATCATATGAACCTACGAACAAAATCTTTGTATGGTTCAGTTAAAGAAAGTTTTATACAATAAATTTATCGACAGTCACCTTCGGTTTATTTTCTTGCATAATACTACTTCTTGCACATGTAGACTATAATTATTTCTAGTTTTTAGGTTGTCACATTTTCACAGAAAAAGCAAAACATCGAAGTGGCTTCCATTTTGACTTTTTCCAGACAAAATACTATCCATTAAATCCATATTTTTAAATGTAAGTTTGCAATTTCGAAATGAAATTCGTCAAATGCCCAATTTTCAGCTGCGCGCGCTACTTCATGTTATTCGTTCAAAAGAGGTGACAAATTAAATGACGTAACCTGAAGCATGCAATGAGCAAACAGAACACAGGCTCCGATTCAGAAGTGAGCCATGATCGCCACAACATCAGGAAGGCATGTACTTCGCACTTTGCAGGGTTTTCTGGTCATCATCAAACGTTTTAATAGAATTTTACCAAAAAAGTTACCAAATACTTCAATTTTAAGAAATTTTACCAAAATTTTACTAAAAAATCTTTTTTACCAAATTTCTATCAAAATTGTCGAAATTTTAACAAAAGTAAAAAAATATACTGAATATGGTCACACTGTTCGGAACACTTGACATCACGTTCGCAATACAGATTTCAGTAATGTTGACGCACACGCAGACCTTTTTCCGCGGTGTTTTGTGGGAGTGAATCAAATGGAACACAATGTGTGCGCGCGCATGTAATCTTACCCTTTTCAGACTATTTTGCGTATATTTTTTCTGTGTTATGAGATATCGCCGTTGTTATTTTGTAGATGTTGCATAATAATAGTTTATCATTATAAAACCGCAAGCGTACAATATACTACCGATAACGATGCAAACTATGGTATACTAAAACCACTGCATGTTTTATTCGTTCCTTTAAGTTTACCTACGACAATAGAGAGGAGTTAAGATTTCCACTACCTCACACCGAATTAATACTAGCCTGCGAACAGGGACAGGGTGGATTAGGGGCATCTGATTGGTTAATGGACTGGTATTGAAACTCAAAATCTGGACTTCTCAAAGATTTATTTCGATTTAAATAGCGAGTCGAAGTCCCTGCACATCCTGCAACTGCAAGCAGCAAGGACTAACAAAAATTGTTGAAATTATAATCAGACAACTGCATATTACGGAATCAATATCGGTGTCAAGTCGATGTATGCTTATATATGTAAAAAGCGAATGTAATGATTGCGGGATTTACTTACATGGAACACAGATACACAATTCATGCATAGAGCATGTATTCTCGCACAAACATCAATTTATTACAAAGAGCTGACCTCTAAAGCTACAAAATTCTCTTAATATAGATACCAATTTTACTTGGTGAAGGAAAAGCGTGGACATTAATCTGCGCATGCGCACTGGTAAGAAACCGCAGACTCACGCTACATCAATCACATAAACATGGGACTACAGTAGAACTCCACTATCTCGAAAGTCCTTATTTCTATCTGAACTTTAATGGCTTTAATAAATTCATTTCGTTGTTTTCATTGGGGAACGCTGTCGCACGTATTGAATTTTGTAAGGTAACCATGCACTGCCACTGCGAAAAACATAAGGCCCCTCGAACCCTTGCATGCTATCTAGACAGCCTAGTCCCAGGCTCTCTCTCTCTATTCGCTGCTTTGATATATTTAAATAAATCTGAAAAGTTTTATGCCTGCATGGGTGTGCTGTGCGGAACGCTCAAGCGAGAGAGCCTAGCAGATTTCGGTAAAATGTCCCTGGTTTCAAAAAAGTGGTCCCTGGCCTGGTTACCAAGCATACCGCATTTGTAAATAGAAAATGTTATGGAAATTTCCTTTGCGTTTATAATTAAGTCATTAGTTTTGCTATAATGCTGTCGGAACAATGCAATCGCTTAACATTCGCTACCATACGGTCAGAATGGAATAACAGGCTAAATATGACTCGTGTTTACTAAAATATAAAGCCATATTAAATGCTATCTAGAAGCTTGAAAATTATGCCGAGTCTCCGATTAAAAATGTTTTGACAACATAGTCATGTCAGGCAAATATTTCCAATCTCCTCAGCTACTTTAACCTGTCAAGTAGAAAGCGTAGTTGTGTATACATCAACGATTATACGACCATTGCTCAGACTCACTATCGTAAATTTGTATATAATTTTTTTTAATTGAGCACATAATGTAGACATCGAACATGATCAACGAATATTGTCATATTTACAAGGTTATTTGTATATATAAATTTTCCGCCATATTAAAAATACTGAAATCTGCTAGGCGTTCTAAAGCACCTTTAGCGGTGACGTCACTCCTAGGTCCCAATCTCGTACTACATCCACGTTTTTTCTCGCGCTTGCTTCAGAACGACTGGGACTAGGCTGCTATCTAGAACTTTTTCTCTTTCGCTCGGCTTCGCTGGTCAAGATAGCGGGACTCTACTGTATCAGGAACATGATTATCAAATTTGTCATATTGGCTTTAATTGCCGAAAATCGTCTGTTAAGCTACGAGGGACCGGTTGCCCGTTGCCGTACGAAGGTCGGATAGCACTATCCACCGAATAAAATTGTCCGTTGATTGGAATAACCCAGATTAAACTTTAGTATCGTATATATTAATTAAAATTTGTGTTATAACTAATGAGGTTCATATCAGTAATTTTATAGCTTTATGAGCAATTTTACAACGGTTGAAAAAATCACAACTGGCCTTCGTACAACCGACCCAGGGCTTAATTATTTATTCATAGTGATTTAATACTTCACATATATTTGGTAGAAGATGCTCGGCAACTTTTGGGCAACTTTTGACATTTCGGGTAACGTTTGTGATTTTTGTCCTTTTCTGGCAGGGTTTTGTCTTTTATAGCAGTTATTTTTAGTTCTAGTAATTCAAGGTCGAGCATCTTGTGTGTAAAGCCTAGGGGGCCAGGCCTCAGTAGAGAGGCGGGGTTGATTTTGCTGAGACCAAGTGAGAAATGCAGTGAATTTATACTAACGAGAACTTTCACGTCAAATGGTACATATAATCAATACATATGAATACATGTGAAGCAAGGGATTATTAGAGAAAGGGATTTTCAAATCAAATTCAAATTTTATATCCTATCGATGTCATAGTAGTAGTTATAGGCTATACAGCTATTTCAATTAAGGTTGTCCCCCGAGCAAAGCGGAAAAGTCGAATACGAGCGCGAAAGGCTGCTGGGATTCGCTAATAAATGAATGAATTTATGAGCGATTCCCAGCAGCCTTTCGCGCTCGTATTCGACTTTTCCGTTTTGCTTGGGAGACAACCTTAATTGAAATAGCTGTATACATGTAGCTGCTTTATCTATACATACCTGTTCAACAGAAATGAACATTTCACGTTAGGCGGGTTATCATTAGGATTACATTTTAACCCACGGGACAAAGCAAGTTGGAGATGTGTGTTGTGATATCCCTGGGTAGCTGAACACTCGCCTGGTAAAAATTAAACACAATCAGTAAAATATTTTTCAAAAACGCCTCTCAGCTAGAAGTACACCCTTGACCTGGTATTGGATGATCATGCAGTCAGGGATCAATTTTCCCGAATGAATTCCCATATTATGGGTAAAAGTTTCTAATATTGAAGTTTTTCACATGGAATTTGATGCTTCTCTCCACTTGGAAAACCACATATCGCATTTTCGCTGTACGAACAGTGAAATTGACACTTGCCATATAATAGTACTGTAGAAGGTTTTTGAGACGGATCGGAATATTCGAACGGAAATTTGTATACATTTTTAGGCCCCCTGGCAGCAATCAAACTTGCGGTCTTGCTATTCCGGTGCAGGGCGCTAACCAACTAAATGTCCATACAGACTGGACGCGATTTGGCAACGCGACGCGAATTTTCAATTTTCAATGTCATTTAACTTCAATATTTTTCTATGTTTTTCAAATATTCGGAACATCTTCAGCAATTTTAGCTATTTGGTCTGCATATCTTGTAAAATTTTTATCCGTTGACGGTTTTATTTGTTTTTGAAAACTAAAAATTCGCGTCGCGTTGCCGAATCGCGTCGGGTCTGTGTGGGCCTTAAGGCGCACGGTAGCATGTTCGATTCCTGTCCGAGGGACTAAAGTTGCATTTTTCCAAACTAAAAATGTACACAAATTTGCGTTCGAACATTCCATCTCCAAAAAACCCTTCTACTTACTTATTTCTTCTATCGAATGAGATGCCCCAGAATCTAGATAGTTCCTATATAACAATGTATATAGTTATCACATGATTTAGATATAATAGTAAATAATATACCAACCTTGAAATACGGTCATACAGGTTCTGGAGTGGCGAAGACCCAAAAGTACATGCTTGGCTGGAAAAACAGAAAACATCCAAGAATAAGTCAAATATTTTCAGGCAATGGTAACGCTGTTAACGGCAAAGCTTTAAGTGCTACTCTAGGACCTGTATAGATGTTTGTATGCGTTTCATTTAGCACAGGTAATCTCAACTGTTTTAGGGTAAAATGACCATGGCGGTCAACTTGGCATATGTGCCAAAACCTGAATCCGGGGCGAAAGTCCTGAAAATGACCCCGCCCTGAAACGGCAGTGCCGACATAGCTCTAACTTCCGAAAAGCATAAGCGACAGCCTTTCTGAAGTGCTTATAGTGTTTAGAAGGGTTGCTTTTAGGGGTGGTCATTGGAAGGAAAAATTTGTCTAAGTATAATATTTTACAAGAAAATGACCATGCACCACCCCAGGTAAATTGCTAATTATGCATAAAATAACTAATATGCCTGGCAGAAATTTAATGTTCTTATTTCCTAAAAAAAATTATCATGGGATGAAAAACTATGCTTAATTTAATATAATTATTGTAGTTTTCATAAGGATTGTCATTGTTTTCTGTAAATATAATACATTTTAATTCACTCACCCCCCACGAAAACACCATTTCAGCCATACTTTGCCGTCTTGTTTGCTTTTTATCGCCGAGTCTCGCAGATATCATCCAGTTGTTGTACTTTTACATAATGATAGATGGCTAAAGACGATTTCGACGAAGTTTAATGAAGTTTTGAAACAGTGCAGTATATTTTATCTTCGATATTGTGTCCTTCGATATTTCGTCAAATTGCCGCCATTTTAATGGCTCGCCGCTTCTCTGCCCGATAAATGCCACTTCTTCGTCTTCCTATGTGTTTAGACTACAGTATCCAAGAGTACTTCATTGTAGAATAGTCCCAATCGAAAAAATGAAAACATTAGTTGGGTTTTGATGCCAAAACCCTCCAGGTAATCATTTAGGTTCAAAATAAAATACAAAGCATTTGAAAGTCACGCGCAATCTTCGCGAAAACTTCTCGTGGACACATGACAGGGGGGGGGTGAATATTTTCACGAAACGTTTGTTCGCCACCACAGCAACCTAAAATATATTGTATTTATTGTATTTTTATGAATTATGATAAAACTACCCAAATATTTATTGTTTTTATCATAATTCATAAAAATACAAAAAATACAATATATTTTAGGTTGCTGTGGTGGCAAACAAACGTTTCGTGAAAATATTCACCCCCCCTGTCATGTGTCCACGAGAAGTTTTCGCGAAGATTGCGCGTGACTTTCAAATGCTTTGTATTTTATTTTGAACCTAAATGGTTACCTGGAGGGTTTTGGCCAACTAATGTTTTCATTTTTTCGATTGGGACTATTCTACAATGAAGTACTCTTGGATACTGTAGTCTAAACACATAGGAAGACGAAGAAGTGGCATTTATCGGGCAGAGAAGCGGCGAGCCATTAAAATGGCGGCAATTTGACGAAATATCGAAGGACACAATATCGAAGATAAAATATACTGCACTGTTTCAAAACTTCATTAAACTTCGTCGAAATCGTCTTTAGCCATCTATCATTATGTAAAAGTACAACAACTGGATGATATCTGCGAGACTCGGCGATAAAAAGCAAACAAGACGGCAAAGTATGGCTGAAATGGTGTTTTCGTGGGGGGGTGAGTGAATTAAAATGTATTATATTTACAGAAAACAATGACAATCCTTATGAAAACTACAATAATTATATTAAATTAAGCATAGTTTTTCATCCCATGATAATTTTTTTTAGGAAATAAGAACATTAAATTTCTGCCAGGCATATTAGTCATTTTATGCATAATTAGCAATTTACATGGGGTTGTGCATGGTCATTTTCTTGTAAAATATTATACTTAGACAAATTTTTCCTTCCGATGACCACCCCTAAAAGCAACCCTTCTAAACACTATAAGCACTTCAGAAAGGCTGTCGCTGTCGCTTTTCGGAAGTTAGAGCTATGTCGGCACTGCCGTTTCAGGGCGGGGTCATTTTCAGGATTTTGCCCCGGATTCAGGTTTTGGCACATATGCCATGTTGACCGCCATGGTCATTTACCCTAAAACAGTTGAGATTACCTGTGCTAAATGAAACGCACACAAACATCTATACAGGTCCTAGACTATATAGCCTATAAGTCAGGAAAGTATGAAAATACATACTGATCATATATAGTCATGAACGCAAATTTTGTTAAAATTTAAACAGTTATAATTGCAAACATATGTTATTCCAACCTCGCAAGCCAGGCTCTCTACTTCTGCTTCTCTCCCTAGGTTAGGGAGGGAAGCAGAAGTAGAGAGCTTGGCTTGCGACGTTGATGTTATTATTATATAGTATAGTCATTATGTGTCTTCTGATTGGCCAGTAGCTTACAGCTAAATATGGAAAATCACGCAACCAACACATAACACAGTTATCTGCAGTAGGTAACTCAGTTATGTGCATGTAGGTCGAGCCAGCGTCCATGGGTCACACCTAAGTATACTTGTAAATGTACTTGTAAGTACACTTGTACATAATCTTGAACTGTCTTTGTCAGTGTAGGTAGTACCAATAAAATTAACAAGCTTTCGATGGTAGGGAAAATATATAAGGAGAATTTCGACGTTACGAGCGAAGGCCCTTCGTCTAGTAACTCCAGACGAAGGGCCTTCGCTCGAAACGTCGCAATTCTCCTTATATATTTTCAGGTAGTTGCATCCCTACCAAAGAAAGCTTGTTCATACTTGTACATATAGGTTTTTAACTTTTTTTCCTGTAAAGTTTTTATTGTTTTGACGCCCCTCATGGAGACCAGCACTCTGCTGATGAGGCTAGCATCATTGAAATAAAGGTTACACACACACACATACCATCCAAATGCCAGGGTATTGAAACTTCTTCAACCACTGCACCTTTCGCACTTAGTCTCTCAGCTGATTTTCTCACCAACTCATTCACATCTGTCTCAAAACTGGGATTAAAACCTTCTTTAAGTAAACCCACACGTAGACCTTCAATGTCACCTGTTAACTGTAACAAACCAAACCAAACGGTTCACAAAACTGACATATTATACCAGATAACTCCCCAAGCTTCGTACCCAGGTATAAGAGGAAATCGCGCAAGAGGAAATCGCGATAAGCTGGTCTGCGATCAGTGGTTAAGCTACGCGAGCGTACGGGGGTGCTTGGTGGAGAGCGCCTATAACCCTAACTTCCCCCTGGAAGTTTACACCGTGCCTGTATGCAAGGACATACTGCAACGTTTCCGTGGAAACTTTGCTCTAAAAAGAATGTCTCAACTTTCATCTGGATGAACACACAAACATGTATAGCCGAAGTCAAACCCTTCAAAAAATAATATGTTAGCCCAAATTTGTTTGGCACAAATTTGAGAAAATAACCTGCATATTTCCCCCAACGAGAAGGGGGAAATACGATGATGACCTTCAACTTTACCGAAATTCTTCATTTTTACATTTTCCCATAGCCTTTCGTTTTCAGAAGTGTTCAGTTTTTGAAAAAAAATGCATACACAACTACACAAGTATAAGACTAACGTGTAGATCTATTCAACATGTTTTACTTACCTCCTTTGTATAGCTGGGTATCTTGAGATCGCGTGGTTGACGGTGGTCTAAGCCATCATCGTAACCTGCTATTGCCTGAAATGAAGCAATATTATCATGCAGCCGCCTACGCATATATATATTATTTTATAAATTAATATTTATTTATGATATATTTACACCACGTCCCAGCACGAATTTGACGTACATTAATTATCGTTCAATTGATTGGAAAGTTAAAAAATAGTCAAACTTTAAAGGTATTCCAGCTCATAAAAATTCGACTGACAGTAATATGCAAATAATTATATATGTATATGAAATCAAACTTCCATAAATATATTGGAGCATATATTGGAGCTATTGGAGCATATATTGGAGCTATATATTTGAGCATAAATATATTGTGATTTACTGTAATTTGTTCTGATTTTCTGCAGCGGCTAACGATTTATCGACAAATACCGCCATAAAATTTACACTTCGCTCTTTTTATGCGACAAATTATTATCCCGTAGAAAAAACAAAACTATTATCGCTGTATTTGCCGAACAAATTACAGTACAAATTACAGTAAATCACATGAACCATAGAAATAATAGATATCTATTAGTATCTATTAATTATATGAACACACAACAGACTACATGCAGAAGCGGAAGTGAGGCACTTTTTGTATTTTTTAAAACTAATATTTTCAATATACCTCAAGTAACAGTGCCGTATCATAAACTGTCCTCGCCATAGGTCCACTATGGTCTACAGTAGGGTCAACAGGTATTATACCAGTGTAAGGAACCAACCCAAATGTTGGTTTCAATCCCACAATGCCACATGCTGCTGCAGGGATGCGTATTGAACCCCCCTGATCTCCTCCGATAGCCATGTCCACATCTTTATTAGCAACCTCGTGAAGTAAAGATTAATAATAAAATAATAAAGTTTAGAGTCACAATCTCTAAAGCTACACAGTAAATTCAATGGAGCCAAAACAACGATTACTTTCAGATTTAAGTCTGGCAGAAGATTACACTGAAACAAGTATGATTATAACTTATATCGTAGATATATCTCATCAATGCTATGGTGCAGCTGTTCACTCTTTTGAATTTACAGTGTAACCAGGGACGATACTCACAAAACATATTGTATTTAACGACGCCATCAAATTAATTGCAAAACTCTACCCTCTGTTATTTCATGGTTTTAAGCCTGAATTATGCCCGGTACATGTACGTTATTCAAGATGGCGTCTACTAGCTAGTAAACAAAAACTTGCTATTCTAACCTTATTTACGGGTATAGCTTGCTCACTCTTTCAAATGTCGTCTGCATAATTTTTGTTTTTGGTAGATATATACAAGAAAAGACGAAGGCATAAAAGGGCGGAGGTGGAAGCTGTTTACATTTGAACCGCAACGTTAACGTTTCGCGAAGGAAGTAACGTTTCGCGATTACAAATTATTCATTATTCGTCATATCATATCAAAAATTGGTCGGACATTTATCAATTTTTCTCGGACAATGGGCAAAGTAAAATTTTTCATTTTTTAAAATAATTAGCACGATTTTTGGCATATAGTCATGTTAGTCCGCAGTGCAATATCTAAAACTGCATGACTGAGTATATATGCATCAGTAAATTATAGTTCAGGTTATTGCTGCCGAAGGCAGCACACTATTCTTGACATGAAGTATTGCGTGCCTGCGTTTACTTGTGTCCAGTCTCTTTGGCCGAGTTATGAAGTCGATCGAGATTTCGATTTTGTGAATTTGTGTCTGTCTGTATGTTTGTATGTAAAGATGTCGTAATTCCGGGGAAATAATTAAGGCTTCAGGAAGTTTTTTTAAACGAGGGGGGCGGTCAAAATTTATTTTGTATTGCGCTCGCATGATTACTGACATGTTGGATTTTCACAAATCGACAATATTTTGAATAATTCAGGTAAGGATATAGCTTTATTTCTTTCTGGTGATATTACATGAAGGCATTTATATTTAGATCTGCTGTTGAAAGTGTTCGATATGAGGTAATTGAAACAATAATCAAAATGATTTCACCAATTTATCGGCACATTGAGGAGTCAAAATGTACTTTTGGTTTATTTGTTTGTGTGGCGCGATGAGTTTATAGTGTTCATTCTAGATGTTCCTACTGTAGATATAGCAAATTATGTGCTTTCAGCACGTTTTAAAAACAAACGCGGAATGTTGTGTATGCTTTTAATATAATGTAAAGATATTTCATATTCCTATAGCAACACATGCATGCAGTTTAACCCAGTGACCAGTGTGGATGGTTGTCTGCACATATTAGCTAACTTACCAGCAGTTACATGTAGTATAACATGTCAAGGTATATGACGGTCTGTGAAAATATATTCTCTGAGATATGTCCATTGTTAGCATAATATGAAATAGTCCTACCGGCTACCAACCTACATTCACATATTCACCTGGCTGTGTTCAGGGTTATATTTTTTGATAATGCTCGCAATTTCTTTCTTATTATATAGTTTTGCAGTTATGACTGAGTACAATCTTAGTCATTACAAATGAACGATGTCATCTGAAGCTGACGTATTAAACAGAAATGTCAACAAATAAATTTTGTCTCCCCATCAGCAGATTGTTCAGTTGTTCTGTGAACATACTAAAACTGTCTGTGCCAGTGTGGGTGGTACCAATGTGACTGACTTGCTGTGCTGAGTGGTTATATTACTACCTGAAAAAAACAAGCAGAAACTCGACATTTCGAGCGAAGGCCCTTCGTCAAGAGTTGAATAGAGCCACATGAACACGTCAAGAGTTATATAGTATCGTAGCCACATGAACTCCGCAGGCATCTCGGTTTTTTGCCTGCAAGAAATTTTGCCCGATAATCTAAAGGCGATACCTGCGGAGGAGGCTAATTACTATTCTACATGTCCAATGATTCATTCAAGTATTATTATTGTTTATATATGTTTATATATATATATATACAGGGTGTATCAAAAAAAGCGCAATCCTCGACTGAAATGTAAATTGCTAAACAAATAATAGACGAAAACGTTAAAGTTTACATTCATTTTAAAGCGTAGCCATTCAGCTTTCTAACAGTGGGTTGTTTCTTAAATTTGACTCATTAGTTCGCGGGTAATAATACTTTACGTTATTGCGATTGGAGATTAAAAAAATTGAGATGGAATAACAAATCGTTCTCATGAAAATAACTGATTTTTTCATTAAAACAAAAAAATGTTGCATTTTAATAAATGGATTGTAACAATAAGTATAATTACGGCTTTTCTTCCACTATTTTTAACTGAGTTTGAAACTTCAAATGCGATATAATTTTGGCTTGGACCATCTAAGCTGACTGACATCAACTTGCTATAATTTCTGTTTACATTACATCGCAGTTCGATGACACTCTGGCTCAGACACCAGAATGTTTTGACGATTTTTAGCATTCGTTTAGGATTTTCAAACAACCTGGTCTCTTTTAAAATACTTTTAATTTGTTCTTACGTGGTTTTCCAGATGTAGTGACGACAACATTAAAGTTTAAAGAAGAAAATTCTAACCGATTTAAACCGACTAAACAATAACATAGTAAACTTGCATAATTAAACAGCAACTAAAAATGATAGGTTTTACTAAATCTTTTCCTGTGCAATTATTACTAGCATTGGAGACAAGGATAATGGTTTGTTTGAAAGAGAAAAGAACAGGCTTTGAAGTAAGCCTAAAAGCGTTTAACTAGAAATAGTATTTCGAAAGTTATTAAGCACAAAAGATGAATTGCGTTTATTTTGATAC